TTGGTGAGGATGTGGAGAAAAAGGAACCCTTGTGCACTGTTGGTGGGAATGCAGATTGATGCAGCCACCATGGAAAAAAGTATGGAGGTTCCTCAAAGAATTACCATAAGATCCAATAATTCCACTACTGGGTCTTTACCCATAGAATACAAAAACACTGGGGCACCTGGGTGGCTCAGTCGTTAAGCGTCTGCCTTCGGCTCGGGTCGTGGTCCCAGGGTCCTGGGATCAAGCCCCACATTGGGCTCCCTGCTCCGCGGGAAACCTGCTTCTCCCTCTCCCACTCCCCCTGCTTGTGTTGCCTCTCTCGCTGTGTCTCTCTGTCAAATAAATAAATCTTTAAAAAAAAAATACAAAAACACGGATATAAAAAGATACATGCACCCCTATGGTTATTGCAGCATTATTTACAATAGAAAAATTATGGAAGCTGCCCAAGTGTCCATTGATAGATGAATGGATTAAAAAAAAAGATGTAATATATATATGTATATATATTATATGTAATATATGTGTATATATATGTAACTGTATATATCATATATAATATATACATATATATACATACAATGTAGTAGAAAGAAAAAAAGATGTAATATATATTATATGTAATATATATGTATAATATTATATGTAATACACACACACACAATGTAGTATTTCTCAGCCATAACAAAACATGGAATCTAGCTGTTTGCAACCACGTGGATGGATCTGGAGAGTATAATGCTAAATGAAATAAGTCAGAAAGACAAATACTATATGATTTCACTCATGTGGAATGTAAGAAGCAAATAAAGCCAAAAAAAACCCACACAAAAAACAAAAAACAGATAACAGACTCTTACCTATAGAGAACAAACTGGTGGTTACCAGGGGAGGCTGGTGGGGTGATGGGTGAATAGGTGATGGAGATAAAGAGCACACTTACCATGATGAGTGCTGAGTAATGTATAGAATTGTTGAATCACTATATTATACACCCAAAACTAATATAACACTTTTTAAAACTGTATTGGAATTTAAAAATAAAAAAATAAATTTTAAAAACAGAATTTAAAATGAAAGTTTCTATAGATTAGAGCTAGAACCATCACTGGATTCTGGGTGTTAAGAACCTAGAGGCGCAGGGAGGTCGAGTGCCTGGCCCTAATTACTACAGAGAGTGGACTCTCTCATCTGCGCCCACCCTGACCATGGCCCCTGCTTCCTCTCCCACACTGCAGTTATCCGCTTACGTGGCCAACAGCTGGGGACTGAAAGTTAGGAACTGCCCGAGTTGGGCTTCAGTAATTTATGGGAAAGTGAGATGGGGCCTCAGGATCCCATTAACCCTCTCTGAAATTTCCCTTCTGGAACTGGGACTCCTCAAACCTATCTGCCATCAGGGTTCCAGGCCAGAACACCCTTTCTAGACTTTGGCAAGTAGTGCCTGATCTCTGAGCCTTTTAGGATTAAAAGATGGGCAAATCCTTTGCTTTGTGGAGGGCAGTGGGGAAGCATTCCTGTGAGAATCAGTCCATGAAGGGTTCCTTTGGTGCATTTAGCCAAGCTGAGCCACCAGATACGACTTCCTTTATTCTCTTCAGCACCAAGCCTACAGAATCGTCGCTATCCATCCATGGCAAGGATCCATTCCATGACCATCGAGGCTCCCATCACAAAGGTGAGTGGCAGCTGCCTCCTCCACTCTGCAATCAGGGTTACCCAGCACTGGGTTAACTTCTGGAAATAAAGTGATGAGTGACTTACTACTAATACCATGGAGGGGAAACAGATATTAAATAAATACATAATAAATAAATTTGTAGTTACAAATTGCAATGACTATTAGGAAGGAATACAATAGGGTTCTAAGAGAAAATTAAATTATGGCCTATTTACGTTGGGTGAGGTGATCAGGGAGAGCTCTCTATAGAGGAAATAATGTTTGAAGTAAGAACTGAAGCATGCAAGGATGTTAGGAGAGGTGGGAGAAGAGAATTGTGGACAGCAAGCACAGCAAGGGAAGAAGCAAAGAGATGAGGAAGAGGGATTGGAGTATTTGAAGACCTGAAAGGAAGTATGGATGGCTAGAGCTTGGAGACTGGGGGTGGGAAGGGAAGAAGAAGGAAGAAGATGGTGACACGGAGCTGCCAGGAAGGGTTCATATTTTAGTTCTGTGCAGAATAAACCACTGAAGAGTTTCAAGTGGGGGAGTGACATGATCAAGCATGTTTATTAAAAAGAACACCCAGCTGCCATGAAGAGAATGGACTAGAAATGTCAAGAATGAAAGAGAAGAGACCAGTTAGGGGTTTTCCAGAATTCTAGGCCAAGAAGTGGTGTTAGTTGGACTAGAGTTAAAGCAGTGGAGATAGAAATGAATAGATGAAGAAATATTTAGGGGTAGAATCCATTTAACTCAGTGACGAGTGACACTAGGAGAGTGGACAGAGAAATGGGGAAAGCTGTTTGTCAGTTGGGGCCTCCCAGGTTTTGGGTTTGAGGACAAGTGGATAAAAGTGTTGTTTTCTTTTGCTCCAGTGTAGAGACCAGAGAAGGAGCTCTTGTCTTTGATTTTTTTGTTCCATTTGTTCACTTGCTTGCTTTGGGGAGAAGGGAGCAATATCATGAATTTAGTTTTGGACGTGTAAGTAAGACATTTCAATAGATACATCACATAGGCCGTTGAATATACAAACTTGAAGGTCAAAAAGGAGTTGAGACAGGGATGTAAATTTGAGGGTCCTTAACATATGGATCATATGGGTCCAAAATCATGGAAATAGCTTATCTCTGGAAGGACTGGGGAGTGAGAGAAAGCCCAGCACCAATCTCTGAGGAGCTCCAACCTGTAGAAGAGAGCTAGAAGAGGATCAGCAAAGAAGCTGGAAGAAATGTAATCTCCAAGGTAGGAGCACCACCAGGAGAGGGAGGATGAAGGGCACACTGCAGGAAGAATGGACTGGTTGTGTGGAAACACAGATCATTTTGAACAATAAAATGTGTTACCATCTGATTTCTTACCATTTCCAGGCATACGTTTAACTTCTGGGAATTAGAATCCTAATATCCTCAAATTTATTCGTTCTCTCTTTACTTCCTTAGGTTATAAATATCATCAATGCAGCCCAAGAGAACAGCCCCGTTACAGTAGCAGAAGCCTTGGACAGAGTTCTAGAAATTTTACGGACCACAGAACTGTATTCCCCTCAGCTGGGTACCAAAGATGAAGATCCCCACACCAGTGATCTCGTTGGAGGCCTGATGACTGTGAGTGATGAGGAAAACCCAGAAATGCAGGGGAGAGACATGAAGTGCCCTCCAGGGTACACAGAACATGTAACATAGAAACTGGTGCCTATAGTTGCAGAAACACCTGTTGTGTGGGCTAATGTCAGCATAACCAGAAGCATCTGCATCAAAATTTATGTATTATATGTGTGGTATAATTCAAGGAATTCTTGAATTTATCTTTCCATGAAGCTAACTGACCACATCAGTGGGAGACAGTCCTGCAGAATCATCATTACAGTAAAGAGTAGTAGGCAGCTGATTGAGGGTGAAGTATGCACATCCTCCCCTTGACCTGGGGCAGTACTGGATTGAGGGTTATGGCGAGGTTTCCTTGGACTGCAGACTCTTTATATCATGAAAGCGTTTGTACTTAGACTAGAGCACTAGTTCCCAAAATCTTAGAGAATCCGTTCTTTAAATCAAAGCTTATATAGAAGTTCCCTTTACAATCCAGCAAAGGCAGAGCTGAGCTGTTCTGGCTCCATAGGGTGAGGGGAGGAGGGATCCAACCCCTGCCAGCAGGCCAATACCGCCACCATCTGTAACCACCAAGAGCAGCTGATGTCTAAGGACTCATCTGTTCTTGTGTTTTGCTGTGATTTGGTGGTCATCATCATCCACCAGCAAGTGAAGAAAAAGGAGAAAATTCAAATTATTCATTTGTAATCCTTATCAGAGGCTGAAACTGGAAGAATTCTTTGGGAGGAAAACAAACTCATCTATGTGTTTTACTTTGAAGACTTCTGTCCAGCCCTGTCACCAAATGCCGGGTTGACTGGCTTTGTAGTCCATTCTCCTTGTTCCTGCTGAAGATCTTTAATGAACCTGTAATTGGAGTGACCTCTCGATGCTTTCCTGTCCCTGGGCCGGCCTGGGTTGTCCCATCGCAGTGCAGTGTAGACTTAGTGCTGGAGAGGGTTGGCGGGAGTCTTGCAGGGGGGCAGCCACAGCAGAGTCGCATTGGGAGCATTCTGGTTCTCGGAACCCAGTTACCTGTCCTCCTTCGCCCTGTTGGCGTACCATCTTGTGGTTCCTCTGCAGGTAACGCTGTGAGGAACCAGTGTAGGATTCTACCTACCTTTATTTGGTTTTAGGGAACCAGAAAAAGAAAGGCAAAAAAAATCCAGGAGTACCTTGTGATACCTCCCTTACAACAAGACAGTTGTAGCCACTGTTATTTGCCTATTGATAGAGTTTTAAAAATTAAGGTCTTGGCCTAAAGATCCAAGGTGTGACTTCAGGAAAGCCCTTCATTAATACTTTGTTTTTAAAGATTTATTTATTTATTTATTTATTTTAAAGAAGGGGGAGCACGTGACGGGGCGGGGCAGAAGGAATCAAGAGTCGGAGGCTTGGGCACCTGGGTGGCTTAGTTGAGCGTCGGCCTTCAGCTCAGATCCTGATCCCCGGGTCCTGGGATTGAGCCCGGGGTCAGGCTTCCTGCTCCATGGGGAGCCTGCTTCTGCCTCTCCCTGTCTGTCTGTCAAATAAATAAAATCTTTAGGGGGAAAAAAAAAAAAGAGTTGGAGGCATAACTGACTGAGCCACCAGAGTGCCCCTTTTCATTAATACTTCAAACCTTAGCAGGGCGCCTGGGTGGCTCAGTTGGTTAAGCAACTGCCTTCGGCTCAGGTCATGATCCTGGAGTCCCGGGATTGAGTCCCGCATTGGGCTCCCTGCTCAGCGGGGAGCCTGCTTCTCCCTCTGACCCTCCCCGCTCTCATGCTCGCTCTCTCTCTCTCATTCTCTCTCTCAAATAAATAAATAAAATCTTAAAAAAAAAAATACTTCAAACCTTAGCACACACTTTCTAGAGAGACAATTACGACTTCTAAGCAAAGATCTAAATAATTAGGTACTCAAGGGTAGAAAGCAGAGGGAAGGAAACAGATGCAGAAACATCTGGGGCCTAGTTCAAGAGCCTAGTACTAATGGAGATCATTGGAATTCTTTCCACTCCCTTATGCTGCCCCCCCCCAAAGATCTCAAATCCAGAAACTTTTCTTTTAAAGGCTAGTTGCAATGCCCATGTTGCAAAACAGAAAATAGAGTTGGAAAAAATTTAGGTATTAGTCAAAAATCAGCCCACCCTTTTTACATCTTTACGTTAAGTCATCCCCAAAATGTGGCCCAAGACTTCGGTTCCCCAATATGTAAATGTAAGAACACAAGAATAACACCGTCCCTATAAGGGCAAGTGGGGTCCCTTCAAAATAACCCACATCCAAAAGCAGGACCCTTCTGCAGTTGCACGAATGAGACTTCAAAAAGCCAGAAGACAAAGATGGAGTGAGAACGAAGGCAACTCAGATGTCAGGTGTGAAACCTGAATGAAGTCCTATCCACTTTATTCTCAATTCTCCATCTCCTGGGGCTAATAGCTGTGGAAGGGAGAATATCCTCTGTCTTGTAGATACTGTTATGATTTAATTTTGAGCTTCAACTTGGAGTTCCAGATTGGGTTGTTCAGGATGAAGGTCTCTTAGGCTAATGGAAGAAATAAGAGAACAATGCTAAGAGCATGGAAAGCATGCTTCTAATAGTAGCTTTCTTTATTCCAGGATGGCTTGAGAAGGTTGTCAGGAAACGAGTATGTGTTCACTAAGAGTAAGTTATCATCTGTCCATTATGGTGATGGCCAGTCTCCAGCTTGTGCCTTGCCCCATGTTGGGATTATTGTTTGGGGAGGGTGTTGGTGTTACTTTCTCTTGGTCTCATTGGAGTTCACAGTCTCTTCATTTGAAGAGAAGTGTCTTCATTTGAAACCAGGTCTCCTCATTAAAATATTACTTCTTTGAGCACTGAGTCAGAATTGCACATCTCTGTACATTTAAACAGACAGTTAAATGGGATGATTTTTTTATTTTTATTTTTTGTTGGGGGATCTATAAGTTTCATAATGTAAGAGAACCCTGAAGTGAAAAATCTTCCTACCCTTAGAAGTTCAAGACTTCCTTTCTAGTAGCAACCATGAAGACGATGACAGATGCTCAGGGGCACTCAAGATTCTGCAATTAACCAGCCTCCCCAACCCCATCTGTTTGCTCAGATGTGCACCAGAGTCACAGTCACCTTGCGATGCCAGTAACCATCAACGATGTCCCCCCTTGTATCGCTCGATTACTTGATAATGAAGAAAGCTGGGAGTTCAACATCTTTGAATTGGAAGCTGTTACACATAAAAGGTATGTGGCTTCTCTGGCTGCAGGTGGGGAAAGATTGATGGCCACGCTCAAGACTTTCACATCTGGAAACTTTGAGGGAGACGTGAGTTCTTGCCACACGAAACTTCACAGGTTCTACCTGTCATGCCATGCTGGAATGTCGAACAAGCAGAGAGACTGTGGCCCCTGAGTGAGCTCCTTTATGGAGACAGAGTTGGTAAGATGTGGGATTAGCCTGATGATGACCGAGGATGAGGACTTACTGTGTGTCCTTTTCAGATTTATCCAGGTCATTCCTTTGTGCTAGTGAGCCAAGAGTTCCAAGTACTCTCAGCTCCAAACTGTTGAAGTTCCACCTTACAAAATGAGTTTGAGAGCAGTACAGATTTGACTTTGGATCTATCCGGGAGGCAGGGAAATAATTAAATAACTCAGAAAGTCCTCTTCTATAGTAGGAGAAGGCTTTCTTCTGGCGCTGTTGGTGTATAGGATGTGAATGATTCTTACCTGTACATATGTAATGTGACTGTAAATGATAGGACTTTGCAGAGACGACTGTCCTTAGGCTCAGTAACTTCCTGAGGGGACACAGAGGAAGTGCAGAGCTTATATGGAAGTAGAGATGGGGAAGGACTATCAGGGATCTATCTTGGTTGCTGAAACCACCGAAGGCTATATGACTTAAAGACAATCTAGAAATCCTATGTATTGATCGCCTGAGGCACCTACTTGTAAAGAGGTGACTGATGTTCTCTCTCCTTCTAATTTGGGGAGGAGATACTTTTATGCCCTTGTGCATGTGAAGTAAAAACGTCTAAAGAAAAATGCCTCTATTCCCCAGTGTCATCAAAGAAAGCAGTTTCTAGACCAGTGAATACAATGAATCAGGGTTTGTTTTCCTGTTTTCCAGGCCATTGGTTTACCTGGGCTTAAAGGTATTTTCTCGGTTTGGAGTTTGTGAATTTTTACACTGCTCTGAAACTACTCTTCGTGCCTGGCTCCAAGTGATTGAAGCCAACTACCACTCCTCCAATGCCTACCATAACTCCACCCATGCCGCCGATGTCCTGCATGCCACTGCCTTCTTCCTCGGAAAGGAACGAGTGAAGGTAGAATTCTGATACCATGGTCTACTTACCTGCCTAAATTGGAGGTCCAGGAGCTCAATCTTACTAAATATATAAGGCAAATAGCTAATATATATATATATATAAACTGCAACCAATCTGGCAGTTTTTTGAGTGATCAAATTAACTGGTCATGTTGATGTTGTAAAGACATGGCCTCTTCTCCCGGCTCTCCCCTCCCGCAAATGCCTAAAGTAATAATTGATGTCACTGTAGAGATTCCTTTACATGGCTGGCTGATTCATGAACCCATTCTCCACGTACAAGGAGGCCTTTGTGAGGGAGGGAGGACAGGACTTGATTATTACAGCAAGTGGTTACTCGGTCTAGAGGTGACATTTTAGGATCAGAATTTGGCCAATGGCATATTATAATCCAGACAGTAATGAGCCATCCCACATTCGGCTGATCATACATATATGTGTGTGTTTTGTGTAGGTGTGAATGGGTATATCCTGTACTGATGACTTACATAATTCTGAGAGAGTTCCCCATCCCTCAGTCTTACTTAGAAGTCAGTGGTGTCACGTACAGGGGCTGATTTATAGGAAGCCCTGGGTACCCCCATGTGCAGCTGGCAAGAGATCCCCTTCCCCCCTCCTTCCCATCCACCATCACTTGGGGCACAGTGAAGCTCGTAATTAAGCTTGTAATTCCTTTGCTACAATTAGAACTGAAGCTTAGAACGTGGATGCCCCTGGGAGAATTGCTATCTAGAGACTGAAATTTGTATCAATCTGCAATAGCCTGACATGAGATCATTTCTTTATTCTTAAGACCCTGGGTACTTAGAAGAGTGGTAGTGGGTCAGCTAGAAGGAGCAGAAGTGGCACCAAAATGGGGAGAGTTTGCCAAAGCTGATCAGACAAAAGCTGAGCTTGGTATTCGCTTTCATCATCAACAAAGTAAAGAATGTGGTCCAAGAGTGATGCTTTTGAAGATCTTTATCACCTACGGTTTAGAAAGGTGACATGAGCCTCGGTTTGTATAGCCCCTTCTTGGAGGAGCCACGGCCCTTCCAGCTCCCTACTCCGGGCTCACAGTCCTGCACCACACACTGCATGAGATACTGCCCCGCTGAGGCTGCACACGGCCAGTGCAGGACAAGTCCTCAAGCACGAATGCCAAGACCAAAGAGCTGGCAGCCCCTGCAGTCCAGAGTTGGAGATTAGCCTCACTCAAGCAGAACCACTCTAGAAAAAGAGAGATTAAATGCTTGGTGAGTCAGGGAGTTCTTGGTCACCCTATCATCTTCCTTACTCTCCCTCCTCTAAGAATTCTCCTTTTAATTGTGAGTTCTGTTAGTGTCTTCAAAATCTGATTGAATTGCTCAAGTCGCCCTGGAAGCAAGGCTAAGGCTTTCATATACTTACAATTCCAAAGACATCTTCTAATTCTGCCAGTCTCGGCAGAAAATGTAGAACTGCAAGGAACCTTGGAGCATTGGGCTGGAAGGGGCTCTTGAGCTCAGAGATTTAGTTACTTTTACTTGTGTGTGTGTGTGTGTGTGTGACTTGTGCCTTTCCCACTAACCTGTCAACCCCATCCGTGCAGAAGGCGTGCCAGTGTAGTTCATCATTATAGTGCCAGCACTCTACTAACTAGAGCCCAGGAAGCCTGTCATAAAAGATTACTGAATGAAGTCCTAAGGCATAGGATCTCGTACGTGATAGTAGCCCATTTAATAACCTCCTCCTAAAGCTGTAATCTGAGAAAACATTTGCATGCCCTTATGCTCTGGTTTGTGTTCTCAGATTACATCACAAGAGCTTAAGAAAGAGGGTCTCCCTTTCTGCCTTTGCCACCTGCTAGCTTAGAGCTGAATTTTGTTTTTAACTGCGAGAGCTGCCTTAACCTTAGTTGTCCTGGGGAGATTCTTTTTCTTGTCCTTGGTTCTCCTGTACTGCTTGGCTCGCATCCTTTTACCTCTGTGTGAAGAGTTCTGATGTATGTGTGCCATTTACTGCCATTCTCTCATTCTTTGCGTAAGTAAGCACATAAAATAAGTACTACTTGTGACCATAGGCCACTCTGTGTTCTCTCCACCCATGGGGAAGTGTCATAGCAATACCCCCAGGCCAGCATTTGAAAAGGCCTGTTTGGCTTCTTCCTGGAAAGAACTGGAGTGAGTGGGTGCCAGGATTTAGGCATCCATTTTAATGTATCTGTCACACGGCACAGCTCAGATTTCGGTTTCCCTCCAGATATTCCACTATGCCGCATATCCTAGGTAGCCTCTCAATTTCTAGAAAGTCAGAGAAGGCTCATCAGGCTAAGAAAATATCCTGATAATCCTGTCCCTCCTGAGGGCCAGACAGGAGTGTAGGTCTCTGACATCCAGTGGATAACGTTCAGCCTTGCCTCCCCGTGGCCCCAGGGAAGCCTTGATCAGCTGGATGAGGTGGCAGCACTGATCGCCGCCACAGTGCATGACGTGGATCACCCAGGAAGGACCAACTCCTTCCTGTGCAACGCGGGCAGTGAACTCGCCGTGCTCTATAACGACACCGCTGTCCTGGAGAGCCACCACACCGCACTGGCTTTCCAGCTCACAGCCAAGGACAGCAAGTGCAACATTTTCAAGAACATTGACAGGTTGGTTGTGCTTGGGTTCCTGTGCTCAGGTTTGTGAAGTATAAGTGGGAAATTCCGTTTTCCCTAACTTCTCCAAGTACTTAGCTGCTTCGTAGGGTAAGGACAAGGAGAAATAACAATAGTTGGACCACTGTAGCAGACAACAAAATAGTAATCTTGCCCTTAAAAGCTTACCTGTACTTTTCAGACTGCTTTCATCTTTCTGAATTTCGTTTGGTTTTCAGTGGGTTCATGGACACGCTTTACATACCACAAAATACTTAAAATATTGTCTTACTAGTAAGTACAGCAGATATTTTTACCCTCCCAGGAGGACATCCCTCCTTTTGTTAACTCAAGGAAGATGCATCCTTCCTCATCTTTCCCCAGTTCAATGTTTGCCCCTTAAAAACGTAACACATGAGGAGATAGTGTTGTTCGACAGGTCCCAGCAGAGTTGTTAGAGCCCAAAGGGTTGGACAGGCTTCCCCCTTCCTGGCCGTTGTACTCCCATCTGGGCAGAGTGGGACAGCTGGGAACAGACAGGAGCAATTCCTGTCAGCTGCCCCAACCCTGCAGTCAGGCTACGGCTAGTTCCCGCAGAGCAGCAGACTTCTGGAGGGCCAAGCATGCACAGAGCACAGAGCTCACTCTGGCCTCAGGGACAATGCGTCAACAGGAACCTAACTCTTTAGTTTCCAGAAATCTGAGAAAACATGGAGACCAGTTATTCCACCTTCAGAATGTTTCATCAGTGTCAAGGACTGTTTTTAGAACTTTCACTGAAAGAATTTTCTCCAAGAGCCAATTTTACTCAGCTCTCCGTTCTGGCTCCTGGAAGTTAGAAAAGGATGATAGGAACTGGAGAGTAATTCTGGGTAGGTTTGTTGCTCCATGCATTGCCCCGTCTATCTAACTTAGAGAATCACTTACTCATGGGAAAACATTATTCCAATGCCACCAGCTAAAGGAGTACAGACAAGTCTCTGTAACAGAAATCTCCGTGTCTGAGCCACCAGTCTTGCCGGGCAGGCATTTGTCATTTCCTTCCACCTGGCTGTTTCTGTGTTGCCAAGGGAAGGTAGAAGGAAACTACTTTGTAAAATAAGTGCCTACTACGTGACCTCTCTCTCTCTCTCATACACACACACACGTGACCTACAAGGGTCAGCTGTACTGGGGCCCATGGAACGGCGTCAACAGGTCCTGGCTTACTGGGAAGAGGAGCAGGTAAACTTGATGATCTGCACTCAGTTCTCAACTCCGTGCCCCCAGCTTCCTCCCACACTGTGGAAGTGTGGTGAAATGGTAGCAGAACAGTTCTCATTCTGGACCTGATATGAACAAGGCTCTCTGTCTTCTGGTTATTTTAGGACCCATTATCGAACACTGCGCCAGGCTATTATTGACATGGTTTTAGCAACAGAGATGACCAAACACTTTGAACATGTGAACAAATTTGTGAACAGCATCAATAAGCCAATGGCAGCTGAGGTAAGCATTTCCCCTGTAATAAGATACATCCGAGTATTATTTCCATTAGAGGCTACTTTGGCCTCAACACACTTTCTCTTCATCCTGAATACAAGGTGGTTATCTGCTCGGAGTTGGTGAAGAAGGGCTGGAAGTGCTGGCCACAGTAACCCTGAACTCCTTGAAAGAAAGGTCCTGAGATAAGGCCCATGGTGACAGGAGGTGGTAGGCCCAAAGAGTAAGACAGACAGGCCTGCAGACAGCGGAGGCTAGCCTAAATGGGGGTATCTTAGAGGATCCAAAGCCCTCTCTAATTTTCTGTCATTTGACACCTCAAAAGTGGCTATTTTAAAAAAGAGAGACAAACCAGGAAACACTCTTAACTATAGGGAACAAACTTGGTGGTTACCAGAGGGGATGTGGATGGATGGAAGGAAGGGGGGGAAATAGGTGATGGGGATAAAAGAGCACACTCGCCCTGATGAACACTTGAGTGATGTATACAACTGTTAGTTTCAGGTGTACAATATAGTGATTCAACACTGTATATTAACTATACTGGAATTAAAATAATTCAATAAAATTAAAAAAATAGAAGCTGAAATTTAGTATTAGGAAAAAAAGTGGATATTTTCAAGAACTGTATTTCTGCTGACTTGCATTAAAAACATCAGTACCTAAAGACTCCATAGAGTCAAACTGTGAGTGCTAGTTGAAAACAAAAGCATTTATGTCATTTTTCCTTTTTAAAATTTACTGATACACCCTAGTCCTGCCTTAAAGCCCTTCCAAACTTGGGTTTTAGAAACATGCACAGAACGTTCACATCTCTGTTGTTTTAAAATGAGTTCAACTGACCTCCGAAACCATGAAGCTGTTCATAGCCCTGTAAAATTAGGAAAGCTTTATGCTCATTTCCATTGAGAAGAGGTTGCGTATGTGGATGGATGATGAACGGTTGTCTTAAAAGTAACTTGATGATCAGTAAGGAGACTGTTTGTGTAGGACCCTTCACATGACCAGCGTAGATGGACAGTTCCACCTCACTTGTTCTACTTCATCCCCCAGGGGTCCCACAGCATAATGCCAGGGCCCTCTCTTTTTAGGAGACTGACTTAGGGGGTAAGGATCTGGGGATTCAGGAGGGAAAAATTATACAGAATTTAGAGTTGAGGAAATTCACCTATTAAAATAAGCTCCCAGCAGCTCTGTGTTGAGATTTATCATTTACCACAGTGTCTGCTGTAAGCAGTATTTTACCAGTGGTAAGTAATCAAAGGAATAACCTTCAGAACATAATTCTGTCCACTGATGTTTAATAAATAGGTCTAGTCTCAAAACAAAAACCCTTAAAATGTCATGCAATTTTTCAGCTTGGCAGAGCTCTGGAAATATAAGTGTTTTCACACAACCTTATGTCTTTGCAAGCAGAAAATAGCAATCTTCCAGGTTTTGTGTAATTGGCTTATTGTTGCATTTATGTAAGCCTAGTCACAGAGCTGGCCACTTGGCTCAGGACCCCTGACATTGGTCACTAGGTCTGTACTCCTGCATAACCGGTCTTTCTAAACAGGACTGAATACACCCCATCCAGCCCCGGGCCACTTTCTGCTCTTTGCCCCCTTCCCCCCCTCCCCCCCCCGAATGTATATGGCTCATGACTCGCCACCACTCAGAGCGGCAGCCAGGAAAGCCTGAGTGGACGGATGCCTTAAGAGAAAGAAACAAAGCGGGAAAGGATGGGACAGAAGTAATAGGAGAGAGAAGGAGACAGCAGGCATAAGAAGTAGAAATAAGTGAAGAAATGATTGAAGGGTCATATGTATGTGTTCTTTCCTATCTTTAATAGATTTTTTTTAAACCTGGAAGTTGTTTTTACACATCCTGATAAAATCAGGAGAAAAACTCTCCTTGAAAATGACATAACAGGGCGCCTGGGTGGCTCAGTTGGTTAAGCAACTGCCTTCGGCTCAGGTCATGATCCTGGAGTCCCGGGATCGAGTCCCACATCGGGCTCCCTGCTCGGCGGGGAGTCTGCTTCTCCCTCTGACCCTCCTCCCTCTCATGCTCTCTGTCTCTCATTCTGTCTGTCTCAAATAAATAAATAAATAAAGAAAGAAAGAAAGAAAATGACATAACAAAGTATTAAAAACAAATCCAAACCCTGCTTGTAATAGTTACCTCTGGGGAAGAGCATGGCAGCGAGGGACTGGATGAGTGGTGATAGGGAGTTTGAGGTTTTAAACTGTTTTTGTCTCAGGGCGCCTGGGTGGCTCAGTCGTTAAGCGTCTGCCTTCAGCTTGGGTCATGATCCCAGGGTCCTAGGATCGAGCCCCGCATCGGGCTCCCTGCTCTGCAGGAAGCCTGCTTCTCCCTCTCCCACTCCCCCTGCTTGTGTTCCCTCTCTCGCTGGGTCTCTGTCAAATAAATAAAATCTTAAAAAAAAAAAAACAAAAAAACTTTTTGTCTCGACTGAGGTTATTTTTGTACAAGGATAGGTCAGTGTATTATATATGGAATTAAGGATGGGAAAACTTGAGTCCCAGTCACGTCTAAATGGGCCTGGGTGCTGACCATCTCATGTCTGGTCCCTGTGGTCATAACATCATTTTAACCCTAATGTGACCATCTGTTTTCCAGATTGAGGGCAGTGACTGTGAATGCAACCCTACTGGGAAGAACTTTCCTGAAAACCAAATCCTGATCAAGCGTATGATGATCAAGTGTGCTGATGTAGCCAACCCTTGTCGCCCCCTGGACCTGTGCATCGAATGGGCTGGGAGGATCTCTGAGGAGTATTTTGCACAGGTACACCAGCTCTCTAGGGAAGCTCCACTTCTCTTCTGGAAATGGCTCCAGGTCATGGAACTCTGGAGATTTTCCAGTTGAGTAGCCATCAATTAATAAATGAATCCTCCCTGGAAAGCCCCGGCCCACAGTAGACTTCTGGTTCCTTCCAAGAGTGACTGATGTGGCTGGTCACTGACCAAAGTCATTCTAGGAGAAAGGGTGATAAACTGAGCCTTTGGAAGTATCGTTTCATCATCAAAATGTGAGATCCTGAACTTTCACAAAAACTGGGCTACCATCCATTCACTTACCAGGTTATTCTTCTCTCCACTGAGCCCTGTGGGGACACAGATAGGAGCATGACACACTCCCACTCATGGGCAGCTCATAAACTGTAGGGGAGAGGTGTAGACATAGATAGGTCCACACATCGCTAAAAATAGGAAGTATCTCTAAAAGAGGTATGCTAAGTGCTATCTGAGTTCAGATATGTTTCCTAGATGATTAAAAAAAAAGCAGCTTTGGGGGAAATGGTATTATTAAAGTTGTGTTTTTGTTTTTTGAAAAGATTTAGATATATGGAAATAGGAAAGGACTTTCTGGGGGAGAAAGTATCCTGTGTAAAATTAGTAAGGAAGAAAAATAGAATTTTTATATAAGGAGAGTAGCAATATGTAGTTCATTTTGCCAGTGTGAAGGAGTTGAAGGAAAAAAAATCCAGAAATTAGTAGACCACAAGATGCCTTCTGAAATACAGGCCTACTTCCAGGGAAGAGGCTCTAGGGCTGAGGTGAATGTGTGTGACAGACAGAAACACACACACAGTTACAAGTCCTGCACTGTGGGAGGGCCAGTGTGGCTGAGTGTACCATGAAGGCAGGGTAAAGAATGGCTCATCGTGTCCAGAAGGGCTGGCGGGGGCATGACCAGTCAAGTACTCAGTAAGTTAACTGCAGCTTTCAAGGCCGGAAAGATGAGCTCCTAAAGTGAAGGAAATAGGACAGGCAGTTCTGAGCTTGCCAGAGAGAAGGGGTAAGAGTAAAAAATCCAAACTACTCCTTGAACAATAGTGGAGATTTTAAAGATGCCTTTATCGATTAACCTGAAATGAGCAAGCTGAGCCAAAAGCTGGTAGGAGGCCATTAATGGACCTCCCAGGACCCATAGAGAGGGCTTAAAATCCTACTCGTAATTATTCTCTAAGTACGGGAATGGAGAATGGGAAAGAAGCACTTTTAAGTTATTTAATGTAAGTTTCTTGTTCAGGTGTCCTTCTCCCAAAAAGGAATGTACTAATGTTCACAAGCACTGTGGCCTAAAAATCAAAAGTCAGAAACGGAGCCTCTGATCAGCTGGCCTCTGGTTCAGCACACCATCAGGAAAATGGGGATCTTAATATTCAGCTCAGTACAGGCTGGCCTTACACAAATAAACACACACTCTACTGTGCAAAATTCTCAGACTGACACACTCCTTGAGAGAGCCACATGACCAGTACCCAAACCTGAACAATCACAGTTTGTCCTTCTTTCAAGTAAAAATAGAACAAGGAGGCTGCTTCAGCTCAACTGCATAAATGCTTTTCCTCCAGACAACCTCATTATACTGTGGTAGGCAGTGTGAGGGCTTCAGTGTACTTGCCATTTTGTCACAACAGAGAATTTTAAAAGGACATATACTCAGAGGTCAAAATGTATTAATATTAATAATTCCTACTGCTTTAATGGGATATTGGTAAGTAGAACTGGCTTTTTAAACTTCAGGCACGTGATAGTCAAGAATACAGTGACTCCTGGTACAGTTTGGTGGCAGTGCCTTGATTCACGCTAAGGCCTAAGCCCTTTCACACCCCCGCCATCGCTTCTGCACCCTCACTGTAAAGAGCAGTATTCCATTTGTGTTAGCATTTGGTGGTACTAGTAGGACTTTGGAAACATCTCCAGAAAGGGGTTAAGATTCCTGAGATCAGGGGCGCCTGGGTGGCTCAGTCGTTAAGCGTCTGCCTTCGGCTCAGGTCATGATCCCGGGGTCCTGGGATCGAGCCCCGCGTCGGGCTCCCTGCTCAACAGGAAGCCTGCTTCTCCCTCTCCCACTCCCCCTGCTTGTGTTCCTTCTCTCGCTCTGTCAAATAAATCAATCTTTAAAAAAAAAAAAAAAATCCTGAGATCGGTGCTTCAGGAGGGGCTCTGGTATCATACAAGAGACTTCAGAGTCAGAAGACCTGCCTTTAGTCACCCCCGCTCATCAGGTGGTTGACTTACGTAAGCCTCGGGAGCTTCCTGAACCTTTGTCTTCATACTTACAATTGGATGAGGACCCATGTTCAGAGTTGTTCTGAGAAATGAGATGCTACTGGGACAGCTCCTCAGGTGCCCCAGCCCTGTGTGTGTTCTCGTTTCTTGTAGACTGATGAGGAGAAGAGACAGGGGCTCCCTGTGGTGATGCCAGTGTTTGACCGGAACACCTGCAGCATCCCCAAATCCCAAATCTCCTTCATTGACTACTTCATAACAGACATGTTTGATGCTTGGGATGGTAAGTTGTTCTGTCACCCCCCCCCCAACACACACACAATATTTTGTTAATGACACAAGTTGGGCCTAAAGGTGTAAGTGAAATGTTAATTTTGGTTGTGTGTGTGTGAAAAGTTAGCTGTCGGCTGCTTGGAGCCAGATGGGGTGGGGCGCATGTGCACTCTGCATGCCCAGCACCTTGAAAACTCAATGGATGTTTGAAAACTGCAGCACCAAGTCTTAACCTCTGGGAAGCATAGGTTTCCAAAGCTTGCAACAGTTTTAGCCTGTCCTTGGAGAACCTCTAGAAAGAATACTGACAGAATCTGTGACTTAGAGTAGACTGAATACATTCTGTAATGTTGCTGGTAAGTGGCGCTTCAATTTTTAGCTGCAAGGGCCTGTTTGTATTTCAGAAGCTAGTGTTAACAACTTACTTCTCACGCTGGTGTGTGCACTACGGTACCTCTCTTCCACTTCTGAGCCCCAATCTGTCCCACAGAGCCCCAGTCTCGCACATGTTCCGGCCACCTAACTTGTGATCCTTTAATGTTCTTGCAGCCTTTGCCCATCTGCCAGGCCTGATGCAACATCTGGCTGATAACTACAAACACTGGAAGACATTAGATGACCTCAAGTGCAAAAGTCTGAGGCTTCCATCTGACAGCTAGAGCCAAGACAGAAGGGGACCTTGTGATCTGCAAAGGGCACTGTGAATCACAGTCATGTAAATAAGAGGCATTCCTTTCTAGTGAAAAGGACAGGTGTAGGTTAGAGATGGTGTTTTTTTGTTGTTGTTGTTTTTTAAAGACTTTATTCATTTATTTGACAGAGAGAGAGAGATAGCGAGAGCAGGAACACAAGCAGGGGGAACGAGGGAGAGGGAGAAGCGGGCTCCCCGCTCAGCAGGGAGCCCGATGCGGGGCTTGATCCCAGGACCCTGGGATCATGACCTGAGCTGAAGGCAGACGCTTAATGACTGAGCCACCCAGGCGCCCCAAAGAGATGGTGTTTAATATTGGACTCTGAATCATCCAAGTCCCCAAACTGCATTTTTAGAAAGTTACATTCCATGAAGAAAAATACATGTTCTTTTGAACGCTGAAGTGACAGAATAAACACAGGGCAAAATCCTTTGTCCTGTTGTCACCCTGTCTCTCCTCATCAAACCATGGAGCTCATTTACTATAACTAGCAGGACACACGCAGCAAAGACTTGGTGCCTGTGAGCCCATCTTGCTGGATGACAAAGTAGCTTAGCTAGTGTTCAGCTCGTCTCTTACCATAAAAGTCACCATCACTGTTTAGCTTGACTATTTTCCTCAAGAGTCTCAGGCTGAAGGATTCATAATACGTAAGAAAAAAAATGAGCAAAACAACTAGGACCAAATTACTGATAAACGAGTTAGTTTCACCGCCTCTATGGCTAAGCAGTTCCTTTGCTCAGTGGAGTGACACCCAAGGCCAACCACTGCCTTGGCCTGGTGAGTGCCTGCTGTAGACCGGTAGCAGCAGCCTGTGTGGCTGTGTGGCCCTCCTTCCTAGAAGAGGAATTCAGCCTAACACAAAGCCCTTCATGATGGGCAAGGGACTGACACCTTGTTTGGGGGGTGGAATCCAAGAGCTTCCCTTATTCCTGGTTTACAGAGGCAGTCACAAGGCACTATGGTGAGTATATAAAAGCCATTAAATTTGAATGCCCTTGGATGAGCTTTTTTTTTAAAAAAAAAAAAATTTATATACGTTTGCTGTTTAAAATTTTTATTAAAGCACTCTAAATTTACTGGGTGTAAGTCAGTCCATGGAGTAGGTTGTGCCATGTACCATCTATACATATATATTTGGGGGAGGGATGGGGCAGTTTCAAGGTTCAGATGTTTTTAACCTATCTATATTTGAGACCTTGCCACTTTGCTTTAATGATGTAAAAAAGACAAGACTGCAAGATGTGTAAATAGATCAGAAAATAGGCATAAGGGGAAGCAGTAAATACTATTTTATGCTCTTAATTGTATGCTAAAAGCTTCTAAAGCACAAGTGCATATTTTTATACAGCTCTTTTGAAAACTTTCTGTGATCTACATGAAGTCAGACTTGAGATTTTCCTTTCTCTTTTACCAAACAACCCTCCTCTTTGTGTTGTAAATATCAAACTCAGTAAACAAAGTATCTTCCTTTTCAAATCCTCTGTACTCCCTGCTGCATTTTTAAGAGGTATAAACAGAGGCTGAATTAGTTGAATAGTAGTTACTTTTTTCAAATGAAAATTGGAATGTAGAACACTTGAAACCAGTACATGGGAAGAAAAAAATGACTTATTACTACATAATGTGCCAATGTTTTTTTTCTATGTTTTGTACCAAAAAATGAAATCATATATGACAATTCCACGTAAAGAAATGTATCTAAATTATTTTTGTTAGAAAAGCGAATGTGCTTGGTCAGGACAGCAGCTAGCTTTGTGTTGTAATGCTGCACTATGTAAATGTGATGAAAATGTTTTTGTGAAGTACTTGTAACTAAATTCCTACAGCCATTTTTCATTCCCAACAGCTGTTTTTATTTTATCTCTTTGGCCTAAACTTTTCATTATTTCAAAATTTCGCTTTACTGTCCTTTATTTCATGAGTCACTTTACTTTCAGACACATTAAAGTCAGGATGTCAAAATCCCATTTTAAAGAACTAAATAACTTGCCTAGGCTTCAGAAGCTTGCTCCAGACAAGGACAATCTTTACCTTGCCCTGTCGCTTTCAGTTCCATTCGGTAAGTAACATTTTTTCTGTATGAATGTTACAGCTTACTCCCTGTAACGTCAAATTAATTTCATAAGAACTTAAAGGCTTTAAGACTGCCAGGTACCAAAGCTTTAGCACAGCTATGATCTTAATCAGTGTGTAATCCTCTGAACTGCTAACTAAATACTGCCTTCTCCCATATAGTCTTTCAGCAGGTATAAACTATTATAAATGCCTCTTTATACTTAGTTGTTTACTAAAACATTCTGTGTTGAAGGGACCCCCTACTGATTGAGAAGAATGCACTCTAATATAGGTAGAAGTCACATTAAGACTACTACTTCACTAGAAGTTAGTTATAAGGTCATTCTTGTAGAGGTAACAATGTTTTATAATTCGAAGTCATTATTTACTTCCAATTTTAGATTTTCAAATTTGCTTCCTAAGTCAGGACTGGTTAGTCTTGGGGGCAAACAACAAGCCTCTGGCTGAGAAAGGAAAGATACAGTGCCCCTGAAACTTAGGCTCTTGCTTGTATTATGTGAAGACAGCCAGAGAGGAAGGTAATAGGGGATTTTTAAATAAAAATGACAAGGCCCACTACATAGTGTTACTTGGGGTGCTTCAAGGTCAACTTCTAGCAGCAGTCTACATACAACTACTGAGCAGCCATCAAGTCTGAGCCCTCGTAGAAGCTCCCATCTTCCTGAGTGGGGGGCTTCCCTCCAGACAGATAAGAGGATTAGTACTGGTTGCTCCCAAAACTCACCTATAGTTTCTGTCACTCCGTGGGAATAGATTACTAACCCAAAAACTGTTAGGAAATAAAACAGTTAAAAATCTATGAATTCCTTGTATGGTTCATGGAAGAGGTCTTCGACAACTCAAGAAAACAACTTGAACAAAGAAAAAGCTAGCTAGTAACAGAAGAAAGTCCAGCTATTGAGTAAAATTTTAAAGCCTGAAAATGACTCAGAGATACCTAACTAAAGTGATCAACAATCTGATGGAATAGGGCTAATTGCAAGGCCTTACCTGCCTGGGCCTCAGTTTCCTCATTCCTAACATTAGGGCATCGGTCTGGCATAGATGACCTTAGCTCTTCCAGTCTGGAGGTAGTTGTGGAAGCAATGGTCAAAGAGAAAACTAGTAAAAACAATTTGTAAAAATTCCATTAGAGATGAGTGGGATGAACAGGTGAATCGGCAGAGAGCAAAGGAGAAGGATCAGTCTTCCAACATCATAACAGGATTCTTTGATCAGCACTTTTAAGAATAACTCCACTTTCTTTTTTAATTTTTATTCTTTAGTACCAAAGGGGAGAAGGAATATTCTGTTCTAAGGCTGGTAGGGTGATAAAGAGGATTAAATCTGAGTGGTCACAGCAAGTAACTACACAAATGAAGCCTTTCTCAAGTATTTCATATTGGAGGAACGGTAAGATCAATCAGGTACTTGTGGCTCCAGTCTCTGACTTGGGAAACACCGTACCTCTTTACTGATCTAGCTCTCATCCCTGGCATATATGAGGGCTAGGTGCTGGTCCGATCCCAATCTAGCTAATCGCTATTCAGCCAATTCACATGGGGGCAAAAAATACACCCTGGTAAGATTCCTATTGATGAGTTTATAGGAATTGTAGTAGCTAAACTAAAACACAACAAAAGCATTTAAACAAATTACTTGGCACCACCAACAAAAAAAGTTGGAATTAAACAGTATAAGACTCAAGTTTGCTCATAGAACATTCTTAATTAGTTACTAAAGACCAGGGAATCTGTAGGAGGTAGGATATATTTATCACACAGATTCTTAATCCAACAGGCAGGCTCTAAGGAAAACCAAAGAACAAAATAAAACTTCTAATGAATGCCACAGTTCTGCTGTTCTATTTCCACCTCTTCACCGGGTCTAGGTTCAAATGAAGCAGCTCAAACCCAGCACGCACCCCTTGAGCAGCAACACAATCTCCTGGAGGTCTCAAGGTGTAAATTCAAGATGTGCTACGTCCTACCTGTTTTTCAGTGGATTTTTCATTTTTATCCCAAAATATCTTCTATAATTATTATATTTTTTAAAGTAGGCTCATAAGTTTTTTAAAAACAGGTATAGTTAAAATACTCATTTTGAGAATAAAGCCAGGTACTTCAAAATTCAGAAAGGCCTAAATGAAAGTACATGTAACTTTTTAAAAAATTTTCGTGATGAGTAAGAATGTAATTAGAGGCAACGAAATTATACTAAATCAAGTGAGAGGTTCTGAGCACTTTTTTCATTAAACGTAAGCTCATACAATTTGTTATTTTAAAAAAATTTTCTATACGGACACTAGGCTAAAATTCTTTACCAATATTTGTGCTCTGATCTGAATACTTTCTGAAAATTCACTGCTGAAATTAGACCCATTTCCTCAGTGGTTTCAGGTTACTGCTGTGAAAAGTCAAACAAAAAACTTGCAGTGTATTCTCTTGTGAATGTTAATACCTGAGAAACAACTTGCAACTCTTGATCTGGGGGTTGTGGGTTTGAGCCCCTCACTGGGGGTGGAGATTACTTAAACTCTTTAAAAAAAATAATACATTACAAATTTGAGTATTACCCTATATTTGATGTTCAAGGTTCATGCACATGTGTTCCAAATTCCTTCAACTAGACAGCAAGATATAAGTCACCATTCTCCTCTAACTTTTGAAATAATTTTAAACTGCGCAATCCAGATTCTCTTTCTCCATTTTTCCACAAAATAATGAGATGGTCAGCAGAGCATGTCACTAGTCCATGATCTTCAAAGTACAGAAACATCTGTAAAGAAATTTAAAGCCACCTGATTATAGGAACTTCAAAGAGAAAAGGCGAGACTAACATATGCTTGTAAGATAGTTAACTTGCAGACTTATTTGAATCTGAATATAAAACTTATTTTTCAGGACAAGTTGTGTAATGCTAGACCTAGCATTATCTTGTATTTTAATAATCAGAACTACAATACCTATCTTTGTGAATTCCCACAGCATCTTCTTCAGTTTTACTATAATCTAATTCTTCAGGTATTTGTTTTAAGATTATGTCAGAAGTCCTCCCAGAACTGCTTCATCAATTACCTCCCTCATTATTTATGGACAAATGGCTACCAGTAAAATGTCGAAACTCCTAATTCTGCAAGATAAACACTGGCTTGAGCTCTCTAATCCATAAGCATTTACAGAATGCCATCTATATGCTATGGTCCCTACCATGAAGAAGGTTCTAGTTCAGTTGTGAAAACCACATCATATTTGAAACAAAGACTATGTAACCAGGTACTAAAAAATGTAGTTCACACTAGGATTTGCCACAGAAAGAGAGGATCTAGATCAGTAACCACTGAAACTGTCAAAGCTTCAAAAACCTAAAACTTCCGAAATGAAGGGAAGGTCATGCCTGGTGAAGAAAGAGGCTGGAAGAGAAGAATAAAAAAACAAGTGTTCACGAAAAGGCAGCAGAGCTACCTCTGCAGTAGAGAGCAGATCCTGGCGAAGGCGAGAGTAAAACGAAGGAGAGAAATACAACATCAAAGAACAGGATGGGAGTTCTCTCTGAAATAACAATTCTGAACAAAGCAGGATAAGGCCTCAGCTGATGATCTGTAAGTGAAGAGGGGGAAGGAGGGGAGCAAAATACTACAGGTAACAGGGTTGGCTAGAGAGTAAGGGTAAAAACATAAAAGGAATGAAGAAGTTCAGGAGGTAGCACCTAAAAGGGAGCCAAGATTTTTCTCAAAGAAGCCAGAGATATTTAAAAAAAACTTCAATGTCAACACTTTCAGGAAAATTCCTCAGGTCTACATTATGGCAAATATGCCACTCTGAAGGTTACCCCATTTATTTTTTTAAAAAAGATTTTATTAATTTACTTGAGAGAGAGCACAGAGGGAGACTCCCTGCTGAGCAGCGAGCCCGATGCAGGACTCGATCCCAGGACTCTGAGATCATGACCTGAGCGAAAGGCAGACGTTTAACCAACCGAGCCACCCAGGCGCCTCTACCCCCACCATTTAAAAACCTTTAGTGGGTACCTACTATTTTAAAAATAAAGCCAAAATTAATCTGATGCAAAACTACTTTCTCAGGCTTTATCTCCTACTAGTGTCTGTTCACAGAAAACCACTGCTCCAACCCACCCAGTCTGCTCGTGCCACCACGGAGATGCAATCTTTGCACTTCTACCACATTCTGTTCTCCCCAATCCCAAACTACACAACAGCCACCTAAGCGAAAGCAAAGTTAAAAAGCAGAACAAAAGGAAAACAACTGCGCTACGTGTTAGAGGAAAGCAAAGATAAATAAGACCCAATACCCAACATTAGGGAACTCAGGGTCACAAGGCTATGTATGTTAACCCTCCCCAACCTTCTAATTCCTGAGCACTCGCTGTCTACAGTCATCTGGGCCTGCCTGAGCAGCTTAGGTTAACAACTTATTTGGGCTGTATCCTTCCCCTCTAGAAGACCTAGGAGGGCAAGGACTGTATGACCTGTATCTTCGTAAACTCCAGTGTCTAGTATACTGCCTAAAACAGCAGCAGTGATTGCTAAGTGCACTGCAGCTGCCCCGAAGCATAAATGCACATTCAAATGAAAAGTAATTTGTTCCTCCCTGGCTGGGAAACAGGGAAGAACAATTTAAGAAATTCATTACTTAGGGCCCTGCTTATACTACTACCAGTTCCAATCCTCTCCCTTTCATTATCAACAATGGTGCATATAGTAAATATTAATGTATTTGGATTTCCACAAGGTAGAATTGTATACATCTTATAATTCTCAACTAGGATTTTCATATATGCACAACAATAACCAAGACCCTAAGTCTTAGGAAAGCTAACAAAAGATGATCCTTCAAAAGGAGGTAAAAACAGTACTCTGTTCATGAATGTGATAAAGGCCCCTTGAATTCCATTCTGCAAGGCTTTAACTCTACATATAACCCAACCCTCCATGCACCCTCTACTACTGTTAGGTATTCAACATGATTCATATCATCTGATTCTCGATGTCTCCGTCTCATAAATAATGGTGATTAAGCCCATTTTTAGAAGCAACACATTCCTTGCTTCCTCACTTCATGTCTCTGTAAAGGGAGATCTTAATTGCACATACTATAACCTATCCATGTTTAGATTCAGCAAAAACATACGGAAAAAAAAAAAAAGTATAGGACTTTATGAATGCCCTAAACCTTTACATGCTTATTAAAAATACCTCCACAGATGAGGAGTGTCCAATCAAATCTCCAATAAGCTCCAATGAACATGGAGGAGAATTTTCTTGTTGCTTTTTAACAGGTTGGCTGGCTTGCTTGTTCACTCTTCCAAATCCCCACATGTTAAAAAAACCTAGAAAAACAAAATCATTTTGGTCATTTCCAAAATTACTGTACTCTTTACTTAAAGATCAGAAAAACAGAAAATTTAAATGCGAAAATGTTCTGTACTTTAGTCAAGGGCTAAGGGGATGGGATGAAACACTAAGCTAGGGTTTTTGTAAATCTGTTATTTCATCTTAACTACCAGGTTTGCTGCTCATCTCTTTTATTGGCCCTACTCAACCACTGGTAAAGGTGTATTAACATGACAAAAAGGCACTGGGAATAAAAGAGAGCAGTAAAAGGCCTGAATGTCAGTGTCCAAAAAAAAAGCCACAACACAGATCTATCAACAAAGCATAGATGAAAAGCAACGTGTGTCCAAAAACAATATCCTAGCATGTCACATGACCAGAAGGAACTCCAGAGGTAGCAGCATCTGATTTCTTAGGCAAAGGTTGCTAATGAACCAGGATTTTGTTTTTCAGAGCAAACACCTGCAGGTCAAGAGCTCATGAGATTATGATATAAACACAAAAGTGTTTTTTTCCATAAACTGAGTTCAATATTAATGTTTCCAGGCTGAAAGAACACTTGAATTTGGTATCTGATGGTACAAATCCTCGTTGTGTATCAAGCATTATGCTGGACAATATAAAATGAATAATTACGTCAACGGGCCATTTGTTCAGAAATGACAGTTTCCCTTAAAACAATAAAATACTAGTTGAGATGAAGAAAACCAGGCAGTTCTACATTAGAGCAATATTAAGATATGATCCGAGATCCCGACTAGCATATGCTTCATGTGAACATGCGCCTTCTGCCTTTCATAGGAGAAAAGACACACACCTGTTGGTACAGGTTCAGCTGCAAGCTGCTGTTTTTCTCTTAACTCCCAAATGCGTACACTGCCGTCTTCCGAGCATGAGATTAACTGCCTGTCAGAACAGAAAATCAGTAATAAAAAGAGAATGTGCCATGGAGGGCCAATGCGAAATTTGCAGCGAAAGAAATCAGTGGAGCCCTCAACCGCTTCTCTTCAGTTCTGGGCAGGAGCTGATAAAAATCATAATTTAACATGGCTTTACAATGCAAAGTAAAAGCACTCTTCGGGAAGGGCACCCATTACACTGTTAAACTGGCTCAAATGTGATAAATACTTCATCCCATTTTGTAAAACACATTTACGAAAACTGTATGAATTACACTTTCAAAATATCCTGACCCGTCCCCCCTTCCCTCCTCTCACAGTATCTCTTCTCAGGGCAGCTCTAACACTAACAGTATCCTGCATAGAAAATAGTATTCCCTTCCTGTAATTTCATCCCTAGAAACTCAGCAGCCAAATTTATCCTGACAGGAAAGCCCTCGCTTAGTAGCCTCACACAAGGAGATGACCATTTCTTTCTGGCCATCAACAACTACAATGAACATATGAGTTTCTGGAAAATATAAGAAGAAAAATGAGCACATAGTGCCCAGAAGTCTTTGTCTTTTTAAATAAATACCAAATTTTAACGTTATCTCTTCCTATCATCAAATTCAATGTAATTCATTTGAACGCAGCTTCTTGTAAATGTTGTAACCTTTTGCCACAAACTCTTCTGTTAGAGACAGCCATGGGTATTCTCCATTTCCAAAAGAACCTACCAGGTCAAACCAGGGAGCCAGATGAGCTTTGCCACTTAAGAAATTACCTTGGTGGCGCTGGGAAATGTGAGTTTCTTTCATTTGTTGTAGAACAGATGGGACCGTGTACCTGTTCGGAAGTTTGGCAATGTGCAGGACATTAGAGTCATGGGCACTTTTCTGGCAAGCAATCACACGCTTCATGTGAAGGTTATACACGTATAAACCCCTTCCGACTGCAGCAAATACATTCTGGTGGGGGGAAAAGTTCAGAAATGGGCATAAAATTAGTACTTACCACTACACAGTATAACAGATTTCCAGCCCGGCTATACCATCAGAAAGCCACTGTTACCTTCCCTATTCCTAGCTTAGTCCTACCTACTGTACTGCCCCCTGAAGTGCAAAGGAAAGCTCAGAGCATTTAAAAGGTAGAAGGACAAGGAAGTTCTGCATATCACACCCCTTAACATCACCTTCTTCCCTCACTAAAATACGACAACTCGAGAGAGCGACTACAGCTGCAGAATGGCCCTACAGCGGAGGCTGCTGAGGTACTACCTAGGTGTTCATTCACGTAATGCTCTATCCTTGGGAAGGTACTTAGCTGCTTCTGCCTGGACAATGCGAGCAAAATTACCTGTACCGCACATCTTAAGCATGCAAGAGACCTATAAAGGACACAAAAAAGCATATGCTGTACGGACACTATCGTCTTAAGATCCTCTGAAGGATTTGCAAAAACATTTTTCCAAATGTATTACTACAAATACCTTTTTACTAAAACAACTTTAACTTTTTGAAGATACTTTCACCAATATTTATCTTATGACAGCCTCACAACATCTCTTTAAGGTAGGGAAAGCAAGTACTATTGCCATTTTCCAGATAAGCCCGTTAAAATTTTAAAAGAAGATTGAAGTCAGAAAGTTAAGACATAGAGCGGATATTAGAATCAAGGTCATGTTACTCCAGTCCCTTGTTCTTGTCTCACACCACACCACCTAGCTTCTGAAATTATTCTGCACATCGCTAGACTTCGGTAGCACTCACCTAAGAATCACTTTCTTATGCAACAGGTACCCCAGTAAGGCAGCCCTTTCAAAACCCCTACATTGCCTCCCTGTTTTATACCAAAAAAGTCTTCTCATGCAGCCTCAAAGGCGACAAACCCAACTCTAAATCTGGAATGATCTCCTTGGCCCTAGGGATTGGTACTCTGCATTTAGCAAGATGAGCTGAGGACCAGTGTCAGGGACATTGATAAAAGCTGGCCAACTTGCTAAAGTCTAGAGCCCTATGGGTAGCAATTCAAATGCAAAGAATGCCCCAAAACTAGTTCTACAAACCAAGAAATCTGTGCAGAGTTTAAGTGATTTACCAAAGGTCACAAAGAAAATTATAAACACAACTAGAGAGTTAATGAGCTCTTAGATAGCTATTACTCAACAGAGTCACTGCATCAGTCATCTATCATCAATAATTAATGGCCCCTCTGGGCACCTGGGTGGTTCAGTCGGTTAAGCATCTCCCTTCAGCTCAGGTCATGATCCCAGGGTCCTGGGATGGAGCCCCACATCCCTGCTCAGTGGGGAGTCTGCTTCTCCCTCTCCCTCTGTTCCTCCCCTCAGCTCTTGCTCACTCTTCTCTCAAATAAATAAATAAAATCTTAAAAAAAAAAAAAAAAAGGCTCCCTGTAGAAAGAACCAACCTCCTATAAAGAAGAAATACTAGGGAAAACTGAGTAATGCTTTATTAAGCATTTATAGCAGTTAATAAGCATTAATCAGAACTTTTGAGATTAAAAATACAAAATGAAAAACCTTAAACACTAATTTTTATAAACAAAAGAGGTTATCAAATGAAAAAAATATAATTTTTAAGGCCACAACTCTTAGAAATGTGGTTTCCATCTTTTCTGAGACCCTAACATGTTTATCATATGTATTAATTTTTTTTTCCAAAATAAAGCGTGGATTTAAAAAAACAATTTTTGGGGGCACCTGGGTGGCTCAGTTGGTTATTAGGCAGCCGACTCCTGATTTCAGTTCAGGTCATGATCTCAAGGTCCTGGCATGGGGCCCATGTTGGGCTCCCCACTCAGCAGGAAGTTTGTTTCAGGATACTCTCTCTCCCTCTGCTCCTCCCCTCCCCAAGCTCACTCTCTCTAAATAAATAAATCAATCTTTAAAAAAAATCTTTGGGCATGTTAGTATTCTGTTTTGCTTTTGTTTTTAAAGTAAAAGAAGTGCACAGAAAACAAAAAATGGACCATTCTCTCCCCATCCATAACATTATCACTGAGTTTTTTAAAATAAAAATAACAAGCAGAGCTGCCTGGCTGGCTCAGTTGGAGGAGCATGTGACTCTTGATCTTGGGGGTTGTGACTTCAAGCCCCACGCTGGGTGCAGAGATTACTTAAATAAACTTTAAAAAAAAATGCATCTGATTATAAAAGGTAAACAGTATAGAAAGGCACAAAATAAAGTGAAAAAAAAAAAGCCTCCCCCCTTTGTAACTCAAGGGTCACAACTCTTAAACATTTCTTCTGATTACATTTAGAGAAGTAAGCCCCCTTTGCACACATTTTCTAAGCCTTTGAAGGCAGAAGAAGAAATGTACAGATCAGGGCCAACATTCAGTAATCTGTTGGTAAAAAAGATGTAAAGTGTTTCAATAGCATCACCACCAAGGCCTAAAGGAATGAATTTAGTAATTCTCACACAAATCATCTTGCCCCAGGATGCTAGTAGGCTAAGAGAAAAACATTCCTAAAATTTTTAATTTCCTTTACCTCTGCAGGAAATGCACAAGCATCTTCAAAAGATCCTTTCCCAAAGTGTTTCTCAAAGCCCATTTTAAGGCTTATCCTCAAATCCTATGGGATTATTTAATCCAACCAAAAATTTCAGAAGTGTTTTTAAATCTATGGACATTTAATCACTTCCTGCCTCACAGAAAGGAGCTAAGATTAAAATGCTTTTTTAATGGAAGGTGTGCAATCTTTGAAGAACATTTTAAAGCATAACCTGAACACTGGGAATGATACCTTTCTATATCCATCAAGAGATTAAGTTAAAAAAATTAGAAACTGGGTTTATTAAAAAAGCCAGTTTACAGATATTTTCTCAGTTTTTTTTACCTCTTTATCCCATGTGAAATGATGAACAGAAATGTCATCTGGTTTTTGGCAGAGTTTTATTTCTTGCTGGGTGTCCAGCTGTGGAGATGGGTCCCAGAAGCTGCATTCACGGGCTTGCACGGTCCAGTCCAGGATATCCCAGATGATCATTTCTCCAACATGGGAGCCAGTTACAAAACTCACATCTAGGCAGAATTCGTATTTGTCTCATTAGTTATCATTTTACGTAGGCTAAAGGTAAAAAAGAAATGGACTGCCTACTTGTAATGCTCTATAAAACAACAATATTTAGACTAGTGAGGTACCTAGACAAGCCAAACAGAAAGATACATACAGCAGAATGGCAAGACCAGAAAGAGACTCAAGTCTATTTGGTTATTTAGTATGTGATAACAGCATTTCAATTCAGTGAGGAAAGAAATGCCTCACACTGGATTATTTGGTTAACTAACTGAAGAATAGAAATAAAAGAACCTTACCTTGGAACATATACTGTGTAGAAAACGGACCCTTCTCCTGTGTCGGTCTTTTCCTGTCACACTACTACCACACTTACAACACCTGTGACACCAGATGTGTGTTGGCTTTTCCCACACCAAGCAATTCTGCGACTCTAGCTGAGTGTCCTACAATTTAACTCATTCTGACACTCTACCTGGAGGTAGCATCAGATGCCAATTGCAAGTCCAGGCTGTTACCTGTGCTTCTCACCAATCAGCTCCCACTTAGGTTCAATTAATTTGCTAGAGAAGCTCACAGACCTCAGGAAAAGTTTCCTGTTTACCAGCTTATTATGGCAGGATACGATAAAGTACAGAGAGATGAAACCCCAGATGGAAGAGATCTGTAGGACAAGGTGTGTGGGAAGGGCTGGAGGGCTGTAGAGATTCCATGTCCTCTCCAAGTCTGCCACTCTCCCAGCACCTCCACATGGGGGGCAATCTGGAAGCTCTCCAAACCCCACACTGTTGGTACTTTTATGGAGGCTTCATCATGTAGGCATGATCAATTATTAACTTTCCAGCCCCTCTCTGGAAAATGAGGGGTGGAACTAAAAATTCCAAGTTTCTAATCACCACTTGGTCTTTCTGGTGACCAGCCCCCATCCAGAAGCCCACTAAGAAATAATGTTCTCCTATCACCCAGAAAATTCCAAGAGATTTAGGAGCTTTTATGTCAGGAAATATTAGACCAAATATTAGAACAAAAGATGCTCCTTGTGCTCTTATCACTTAGGAAATTACAGGGGTTTTAGGAGCTCTGTGCCAGGAACTGGGAGCAGAGACCAATACAGTTTTCCTATTATTTTAGATATGCCAAAGTAAGTTTCAAATATATTAGAACATTAAAGATGCTTAAAGGAGGGGTGCCTGGGTGGCTCACTCAGTTAAGCATTTGACTCTTGGTTTCAGCTCAGGTCATGGTCTCACGGTTGTGAGCTGAGTCTGCTTGAGATTCTCTCTCTCCCTCCCCCTCTCCCTGCTCACTTGAGTGCATGCTCTTTCTCGCTCTAAAATAAAAAAAATCTTAAAAAAAAAAAGTGCTTAAAGGATTGAAAAAAATAAAGGTAAATGCTTTTATAAATGTAGAGTGCTAAAAAGCTCTAAAGGAGGCAGGGTAGGGAAAGATATATGTGTAAATATCTGCTAAGCAAAAAAAAAAAAATCATATTTAAATAACAAAAGACTGAAACATTTGCAACTCAGATGTCAAAATGGGTTTATTATACTTGATACATAAGGAGCTCCTAGAAACCACTAAAAAAAAGAAAAATACTCCAGGAGAGAAAATGGGCAAAAGACCTGAACAGGCAAAACAAAAAATACAAATGGTCAGTAACCATGTGAACAGATGTTCAATTTCCTTAATAATCAAACAAATTTAAAAGTAGTAAGATACTACTTATTGATGTGAAAACTGGGAAAGGTTGAAAAAACAGGAAAATACCCAAGCTGGCAATAGCAGAGGAAATCAACACACTTTGGTCCTACTAATGTCCTAGTACAAACTGCTATAATCCTTTCAAGTTTGTTGATATGCATCAAAACCTTTAAAAAAAATGTAAACCCACTGATCCAACAATTCCACTTCTAGGAATTTATCCTGAAAAAAGTAGATAAAAGATATATGTAACAAGGCTATTATACATAATATTAAAAATGTGAAGATAATCTAAACATCCACTTGGGGACTGAATAAATAAGACATCTACAAAATAAAACAGTAATGCTGGAGGAGCAAGATGGCGGAGGAGTAGGAGACCTAAATTTCATCTGGTCCCAGGAATTGAGTAGATAGGGATCAAACCATTCTGAACACCTACGAACTCAACAGGAGATTGAAGAAAAGAATAGCAAGCAACTCTCTGAACAGAAAAGCGACCACTTTCTGGAAGGTCTCTTCTGATTTGTTTAGTGTATATTTTTCTGGGGTCGTTGTTACCCTGTTAGCATTTTGTTCTCTCATTCATCTATTCTCCCCTGGACAAAATGACAAGACGGGAAAAATCAACTAAAAAAAAAAAGAACAAGAGGCAGTACCGACTGCCAGGGACCTACTCAATACAGACATTAGTATGATGTCGGAACTAGAGTTCAGAACGATGATAATAAAGATACTAGCTGGGCTTGAAAAAAGCATGGAAGATA